CCGTCTAGCAAGGTTTAGAGTGTGGGGCAGGTCTGGGGTGGGGTCTGTGATTCTGAATTTCTACTAAGCCTCCCAAAGACGCCCGTCCTGCTCCTAGGGGACCACATTCTAAACGGTAAGGCTTCGTGGAACGATGACCACCTTCTCGACAACGCAAAACCTCTCTTCCGAACGGACGAGAAGGTCCGTGCTCCGCTGGGGAGATCTCATTGGCCGGCAGCAGCACCTCAGCGGAAGTGGCGGATTCCCTTCTTGGCTGACGAGCGCAAGGCGGAAGTGCGGCCGCTGGCGCCGCCTACTGCGAGGGCGGGACGTGTCCCTGCGCTCTGCGGTGAGCGAGCGTTGGCCGCCACTGGGGAGTCTGAGGTGACGGAGTCGGCAGATAGCCTCCTAGCCCGGCTTGTAGGCCAGACAGTTGCATTGAAGTTCTAAATTTGGTTGCACGTTGCAATCACCTGGAGAGCTGAAGCACGACCTCCTGGTTGGGTCCTATTTCTGGACAAGTGTTAAAGGCTCGCCAGGTGATTCTAAGGCGCAGCAAGCCTGAGAACCACTGTGACCCCGGAGACAAGGCACAGGCTGAAAGGTCACCAGCTCAGTGGGAAACACAGTCTTGGGGAGGGGATTCAGCCTGCAGCCGCCCTGGCCAGTCCTCATTCTCTCGGGCCTCACCCCCTCTCTGCGCCCCAAATGGGCGGGTGTGCTTTCGGGTGAGTCTGGTTCTTCCCTGGGGTCCCTCGGGCTTGGTGAACTTTGTGTTACTTTTTTTTTTTTTTAAAGATTTTATTTATTTATTTGACAGAGAATGAGAGAGCACATGAGAGGGAGGAGGGTCAGAGGGAGAAGCAGACCCCCTGCTGAGCAGGGAGCCCGACGCGGGACTCGATCCCGGGACTCCAGGATCGTGACCTGAGCCGAAGGCAGTCGCTTAACCAACTGAGCCACCCAGGCGCCCCATCATTAATTGTTAAAGTGATAATTTGGCATCTGTCGGGTAGCCATGAACTCCTAGCTGGAGGTAGTTTGCGTTTTTTTGTTTGTTTGTTTTTTTAAGATTTTATTTATTTATTTGACAGAGAGAAAGAGCGAGAGAGCACATGAGAGGGGGGAGGGTCAGAGGGAGAAGCAGACCCCCCGCCGAGCAGGGAGCCCGACGCGGGACTCGATCCCGGGACTCCGGGATCATGACCGGAGCCGAAGGCAGTCGCTTAACCGACTGAGCCCCCCAGGCGCCCTGTGTTACGTTTTAATATCACGCCCGACCGTCTGCTCCGGGTGGGCTGGGGTCACGTGATTGGCCGCGGCGTCCTGAGGGAAGAGTTTCGGCTTTTACAAGGACAAGCGCTGGGTTGGTCTTATCTTCTGGAAGTTCCCAATCCGACGCTCTGCATGCTGGCCTTGGGAGGCTTGTGGAGTCAGGAATGTTACCCAGGTTTTTCCTGCAGAATGTTTTGTCTGGGAGCCTGGAAGCACTGAGCGAGAACTAAAATGGCTCTTGACTTTACCCACAGAATAATTAGGATGAATTATTGTAGGCTGCTTCTGCCCCTTGTGGGAGTGTGTGTGTATTATACGTATTTGTGGATGGATGTATATTTGTGAAATATGGTAATACGTTGGCTGGAACTTGAGAAGTAGAACAAGTTTCATAGTGATGAAATTGTTGGTTCTTTGGCATTATGGTTAAAGATAAAAAATGCCTTGCTTCTCCAATCTTGTCTTTTTTCATTAGATTCTTTACACAGAGAGAGACAGAGACATCATAGGAACAGAACATTTTCTATCCTTGCCCTCTGGGCTCTTCTGGATTTTTGACCCTGTTAACCAGATCTCCTTGAAACTGTTTCCTCTCTGGCTTTTATGGTGTCACTGCTCCTGGTTCTCTTTCCATGGCTCTAGGGTGCTCTTCCGTTTCCTACTCTTCTTCCTCAAATGCAGACAGTCCCGGGAATCCATATTTGGCTTTCTTTCCACTCTCATGTCTCCCCTTTGGGGATAAATACTGTTCTTCCTTTCATGGAACTTGCATTTTTGTGGTGGAGGCCAACCACCTTTTGAAGAAAAATGAAGCAGGGCGAGGGGTTAGGGAGATGATGGTGTTCACGTTTTAGGTGAAGTCAGGGAAGCCTTCTCTGAAGAGGTGCCTCGGAGCCCAGATTTGTGCAAAGTGAGAGAGTCATGGGTTCTTTGCAGGGAGAGCTTTCTAGGCAGAGGATTTTCTCCAGATTTGTGCCTGTTTCCCTTCCACTAAGTTGCTCAAGCTAGAAACTTGGCTGTCCTTGCATATCCCTTTCCTCCCCCCTGCATCCCCCAAATTCCTAAGACCTATCGTTTTTGGGACCTAACCATGGAATTGCAAACAAAACTGCCAGGTGAGCGTCATCAGAATTGTTTTCGGGGAACCTGACAGAAAGATTCAATGTCAGTTGATAACCTCTGACGTCCAAGAACTGCCAGAGGTTTCTGGTGAGTAGTGGATCATATGGAAAATCAAAACCCCCTCTTTTGGTTGTGATTGTCAGTGGCCTCCTGTAAAATTTTTAATTAGTGTTCCTTTTGTCTAGATTGAGCACCTCTCAGCATGTCATGTACTCTGTGGCCACTATTTAAATAGTTGTGTCTCTGAGACACCAAACCCAAATTGGGAGGAGAAGTCAGAGTCAGAATGTTCTGGCCAATGACACAAACACCAGAATCTTTCGGGGACTCCCTGGAAAGGGTTCCCTCAGTCATCAAACACCAGAGACAAGTGGGTATCATGCCTCTCCTTCTCTTCCTGCCTCTGAGTGTGGTTTTTGAGGTGCAGGTGGTTAGGCTGGAACAATATTGGGGGTGATCAGGTAGACAGAGGGATGGGGGTAGGTCCTTGATGACACTGTGGAACCGCAAAACCAGCCACACCACCGACTTTCTCCAGCATTCTTGTTCTCTGAGGTAATCGTGGTAATAGTCTCCCGATTGTTTCAGCCGCTTTTAGTCAGCCATTAATTACTGGCACCTGAAAAAAATCCCAATTGGTAAGTATGTCTTTCAAGTCAGTTTACAAATCCTTAAAGAAACACAGCGTTCAGGGAGGTAATTTGGCCAAAGGAAATCAAGGTGGGTTTCCTAGATGAGGTAAACTTTAAGTTGCCTTTTTTTTTTTTTTTTTTAAGATTTTCTTATTTATTCATTTGAGAGAGAGAGAGAGTACAAGAGAGCACCAACGGGGTGAGGGGCAGAGGGAGAAGCAGACTCCTGGCAGAGCAGGGAGCCCCATGAGGGGCTCGCTCTGGAGACTCCAGGATCATCACCTGAGCTGAAGGCAGATGCTTAACAGACTGAGCCACCCAGGCGCCCCTTAAATTGCCCTTTAATGAACAAGTGGAAATCCACCAGGTGGAAGCACACAGGGAAGAGCATCCAGGTGGAGGAGGGCTACATAGACCTGTCAAACTCATTCCTGCTTTTGAGGTATCTGGACTGTTTTATAGATTCTCAGTAGAATAGATTCACGGCATTTGTGGATTTAACATTCATTTACATGTGATCTTTAAAGGTTTTAAATTAAGCATGTAATCCGAAACGTGCAGTAACCTGTAATTTGTCCAAAACTTGAATCAAAATCTTGGTGGCCTTCTGTCTTGGAAGTAGAGTGAGTTGTGTGGGCAGTGAGCCAGCTAGTCTGGCTGAGGGAAAAGCACCCAGGGCAACCTCCCCAGTTTTTTGCCCGTAAGGGTAACTTTCATGAAACATTTGAAATTCGCTTCCTTTGTTAGTCCTGTTTGAGAAGCAGATGCCAGGATGGACTTAAATATGCTAGGATTTGTATTAGGGAGCCGCTTTAGGAGAGACATGGGGAGGGAGCTGGGTAAGCTCTTGAGACTGGGATGCAATTGTAATGCAGAGACAGAGAGGGAGGGAAGGTCCAGCGGAAGTGCCCAGAGACCATGCAGTCTAAGGAAGGTTCTGGAAGGCCATGGGGGAAGCCCTAGTACCAAAGTCGCGGTCAGAGAAGCCCCCTGTCTCCCAGGAGCGGGCCTGCCTCAGTATCCTTGCCCCACTCCAAGCAGCCAATGGGAGGCGCCACCTCGGCACGCAGTGCAGTCCGTTGACAATGCCTTTCTCAGCACAGCTGCTGGAGCCATTGTGTACTGCAGTTAGAGCTTGGCACGGGCGTTCTGTTTCTTTTCAAAAGTTGTCTTAAAAAGAAAACTACTAAGACTGGTAATGGAAGTAAAGAAAAGGTAAAATATCGATATATTTTATAGGCAGATTTCTTAACCCTTTCTAACACATGTGCATAATGATTTTGGTGTTGCAAATGAATCTGGGAAATCTACAAATAGGGAATTCATGAAGAAGGAAGATTGATTGTACAAGGTTAAAAAAACTTTTAATGTACAAAAGGGCATAAAGTGAATATGTCTCCTTTCCTCCTCTAGCCTCACACAGCCTCGTTCTCCTGGTTCCCTGCTCCCCAGTCCTAAGGGAACTGCTGTGATCAGTCTATTATTTATCCTTTCAGCGGTATTCTTCTAATAGCATCTTGAACAAAATGAGTGGTTCATGATAGGGGATTTGAATGTGAAGAGATAAGGCATCAGAAAACAAGCAAACATGGGCAAGCAACTTAGGCACACACTAGGCCTCAGCATCTCGGCCCTAAAATGGAGGGGATGACCTTGCCTACTGGGCTGCCTGAGAGCATTAGCAGTTTCGTGCGCATGAAGGGCCTGCCGCGGTAAAGGGTGCGTGTCACATCCGTGAGCTTCACCTACAAGCACTCCTCTTGGTCTTCTAACCGCACATGGTGGTTTTGACCTTCTCTGTCCCACTGTCGGTGACTGACCCACGTGGTCCCAGCCTTGGGTACAGTTTCACAGTGAAGGAAAGGGAGGCTGGAGAAAGGAAGCAGTTAACTAACTATGGCTATTCTGTGTATCTCAAACCACCCCCACTTCTAGTTAGAGGATTTATGGAAAGGGTCATAAGGTTTTTTTTTTGTTTTTTTTTTTAAGGACTGGTAAAATCAGGGTTTAGCTTTCATGACAGCCAAACCCCGAGAGAGGAGACAGGAAGATAGAGTCTAAAGGAGAAGAGGGGATATTTCTTGATTCACGTAAACTGGAAAGTGTTGCTTCGTCCAGTGTAAGTACCCAGCAATGCATGAGTGTTTTTTTCCGTCATTCAAGTGTTAGTATGTCCTTCATAAGTTGAGAATCCATTTCCTCCCAGGAAAACTAAGCCCTCTGCCGTTCTGAATGAATTTTAGGCATTGATTCTGCTTGCAATAATCTATGTGAAATTGATTCCCTTAGGAGAATCAAACAGCTTTTTTACCCTAGAAATTATACTTATTTTTCAATTATACATATATTTTCACTTACTAGAGGTGCCACTGTTGGCAAAGCCTTTAGAAAGGATTTAACATCAGAGATACCGTTTACTTAAAAAAAGACAGGGCTTTATCTGATTCGAATATTTCCCGGAGTCAAACAGCATATAAATAAATGTAAAAATGAAACAGAAGACCATGTCATGCGGAAATGAGTCTGTGTTTGAATCGTTTATCTGCTTTCTGTTCCTGGGCAAAGCTATCTGAAGCTCCGTTGTTTCTGTAAGAGCTCTGAATACTGGTATTTTCCTGCTTTGTGTATCTTTGAGATGTAATTCCTACTGACTTCAAAGGGAAAAATGATAGCACGACGTAGATCAAGATTTTGTTTTGAGGAGGGTTTCAGAGGCTTGTCTGCCTTTTTTAAGAAGATAAAAGCCCTTTTGTTTTCTCATGTGCTCAGGAGTAGCTACCATCCTAAGCGGGAACTCAGATTTCTCACAGTTTTATGTTTTAAGTAAGGAACAGAATATCTAAATTATGCTTGTGCTTTCACTGTATCTCTAAGCTTTTTCTAAGTTTTACCCTGAAAACACTTGAGTTGAAATCAAGAGAGGTACAGTTTATTCTGGTCACTAAACAAGTAATTTCTTTCTTCCATTTTTGAAGTCTCAGCTTGGGGCCGATGTTAAGGATGGTGGGAGCCTTTTACTACTTTGCTCCCCAGAATTCCTGACCACAAATATTACTAGGGGGTACTTATTGCCTGCCCCCAGTGCCGGATCAAGGTGGGAAAAGAAGCGAATCCTTAGATGCTGCCAACTTTATTTCTTCTGATCTAATCAGCTTCACTACAGCTCATTCTTTCTTGGTAGTCTGTAAGCTCTACTGTAATTATTCATCAATGCTTTCTGGTTCGGGACCTAAATGAGAGGAAGGGGATATTCTCACCTTTTCATTTAGCTCTGTTTATAACAGAAAATTAATAGATGAAGTGCTGTTTTGTTTCTCCATATCTCAATACATATTTTCATGACTGTGTGCCCCTCATTATATTGTTCCCCCCCTCTTTGTGCATCAGTGACTCCTGATAGGGAAAAGCATTCTTACCTGTGCCAAAGGACGATTTCTTCTAATCACAGCGGACTATGCTGGGATAAGACAAGGAAAGGGAGAAATATGGTTCTTGTTCTTGGGATGCTTAGCATTTGGCTAGCAAGAACACACATGGAATTATTTGCAGTGATATAGAAGTGATATAGAAGCGGTTTAGGTAAGTGGTTCTCAACCTGTTTTTCTGCCACAACACATATGTACATTGAAGTTCACAGATGTGATGTACACCCCTGGGTGTAATCATGGTTAAACACAATTCTTTAGGAAGTAGCCATAAGCCCGCCCATACTTTCCCCCTGTTCAAGAAAACAGCAGAGCGCAAGTGAATCAGGATGCTGGGGTTCAAAGAATATCCTTACGCTTATTCACGTTTATTTTAAAATGCCAATTTATTAAATACTTTGTTCCTTTGTTATTAGTAATGAATTACTTGCGACACCCTTTAGGACTGACTGCCCACACAGAAGTTAGCATTGAAAGGTGCTGATTTATGCAGTAGTTGCTATACTTGTTTCATAATGCTGCCCGTAGGCTCCGCCCTGCAAATACATGTACACATACAAAGTTCTCAAAGAGCCTGCGAGTACCTCTGTCCCAGGCAGGGGGCAGCCCAGAAACCTTTGGTATCCTGTGTCTGGATGCCATGAAACTTAACAGCTGGTGTTCCTGCCGATATCAGAAATGACACTACCTCAGGGCTCTGAAAGAAGTTTGGTTAAAGAGTGCTTAGATATGCCCAATCCATTCATTCAGGAACAAGTATCACTTCTCAGTAGCACCCGAATAGCAGCCTGGCCACGTGACTTGCTTTGTCAATTGAGATAATAAGAAGTGACATATGTCACTTACAGATGGAAGCTTTGCAAGCTCTTGCATCTGCCACCATTGCTTTTCTCCTTTGTCACGAGAGCAGCATTCACTTCCTGGAATAAGGGCTGCCCTGGAATGAAGGAGATGGGGAGCTCAACTGAAACGTGTCTGCAACCGACATTAACGTGAAACATGAGCAAGAACTGAACCTTTGTGGCTGTGGGCTACAAAGACCGTGGGGTCATTTTTTGCTTTGTTTTTAACCAAGCATGACTCAGCTGATTGATCATATATTGTTCTTGGAAATACCATCCATCTTATAAAGTTTTGGTTTCAAGTGTGATCTGTCATGTTTCATGCGCGTATTCCTTAACCTCTAAGAAATTGAGTTTTCTCATCAGCAAGAGAAGAATAAAAAATACATTTTTTACTGTTCCAATGAGAATACTGTAATTGAAAATAACATCGTAAACTCAAAAAAATATATAATTGTAAGGAGCAGCTTCTCTAGAGGGGAACAGTTTTTAGCATGAGGCAGATCTTCGACCCACAGTCCACCTCTGCTCCTGACTCACTTTGAGATCTTGCACTGTGTTACTTAAATCCTCTGAGCCAGTTTCCGAACGTGTAAAAAGTGGGTGTGAAAACTGTGCAAGCTTGTTGGGGAGTTACTGTTCTCAGAGTGTCAATCTCAGCGCTTAGCATGTGGCAGGAACTCTTAAGTATATGGCAGCTGCTATCATTGTAAGAATGTGGGTTGTTCACTCTGTTGGATATTCATGGTGTGAAATCAACAACAGTGTTCAACATTTTCAGCATTTACACATCTAAAGTGTGTGGCAGCTATTGCTTGCCGGCCTGTTTTTCTTTCCTCAACTCCGATCTCCATTAGCAAAGGACCAATTCACCTTCCCATACTTGGCCCTAGCACCCAACAGGTATTAAATAACCACTAGTTGGACTTTAAAAGATTTTGAAGTTTAATTGTGGCTGTCCTAAAATAATAAAAGCTAAGAATCTGGGGCTTTATTATTATTATTTTTAGATTGTATTTCTCAAGGTATGATCTGAGATCCTCCTGTGTCAAAAGTTTGAGGGATGGGGTGAGGTGGGGGTGTGTGGGGCAAAGTGCTTTGACAACGCAGATTCCACACTGTGGAATCAGAACTCTGGGGAGCTTGATGCTTAGGGAACCTGGATTTTTAAGAAACACCCTTCCCTGTGGCCCTCCTGCCCCTACCCCAGGTAAACTGATGCAGGTGTCTAAACATCAAGCTTTGAGAAAGAGGAAACTTCTCTTTTAGAACGGTTCTGTTTTCCCTTTATTGTTTGGCTCACTTCTCCTTCCTTGTTGATTCTGTGTCTTTGCATTTAACTAGAAAGTGTTTGGGAAACATTTAGAATTCTCTTTGGCTGGATTTTACCTCAACCCGGTTGTGATAGTCGGGGACACAGAAATGGCACAAGGTTCTCTCGTGGTTGGTGGTTTTGGGAGAAGGGTCTTCCATGTGCTTGGAGTTGACTCCATAACTATCCTGCCTTGCTCCTAACTAGGCTCAGATGTAGTTAAGCACTAATAAATATGTCCTTACTTGAGATAGATCAGTAATGCACCTGCCCCCGCAGTTTGCTCAAGTGACGTAAATCATAGCGACCATGCCCTTCGCTGCTCCCCTCGTCTCAGTTGCCTCATGGCTCCTTTAACCAGACTCCAAAGAAGTTAGGCAGGGGGCTGTGATGGCAATGGGGTTTTTAATTCAGGGGTTGGCAAAGGATAGCAGTGATTCTGGAAGAGAATGAGTATTCATCCTTCTGTGGGGATATCTCCCATGTTAGGGATGGGGACCCCTGGAGCAAGGCTGCATGTGAGGTGAGGTTCCAAATCCCTGGAGCAAATTAAAAGCTAAATTTGAGAAATTCAAGTCAGCGATCTAAGAGCATTAAATGCCAGTGCTGAGCTCTTTTGAGCGAGGCACCCTGTGTGACCACACTGGTCACAGGCCCCTGAAGCCTGCCTTGAATCTAGGGATGAATCCTTTTCACTCTTCTCCCATCAACTCAAAGGGAACTTTGAGATTCTCAGGTTTTTTTTTTTTTATTTTTTTGCATGTGTGGTTTACCTTTATTTACACTGTGCTTTTTTTTTTTAAGTTTTTAATTTTAATTCCAGTATAGTTAACATACAGTGTTAGTTTTAGGTATACAGTATAGTGATTCAACAATTCTGTACATTACTCAGAGCTCATCATGGTAAGTGTGCTCTTTAACCCCCTTCATCTATTTCAACCCCCCCACCTCCTCCCCTGTGGCAACCATCAGTTTGTTCTCTAGAGTTAAGGGTCTGTTTCTTGGTTTCTCTCTCTTTCTTTTCCTTTGCTTGTTTTTTTTCTTCAATTCCACATGAGTGAAATCATATGATGTTTGTCTTTAATTGATTTATTTGCTTAGCATTATAGTCTCTAGCTCCATCCATTTTGTTGCAAATGGCAAGATTTCATTCTTTTTTTATGGCTGAATAATATTCCAGTGTGTATATATACCACATCTTCTTTATCCATTCATCTGTCATTGGGCTGCTTCCATAATTTGTAAATAATGCTGCAATAAACATAGGGGTACATGTATCGTTTGAATTAGGGTTTTTGTATTTTTTGAGTAAATATTCAGTAGTGCGATTACTGGATCATAGGGTAGTTCTATTTTTAACTTTTTGAGGAACCTCCATACTGTTTTCCACAGTGGCTGCACCAGTTTGCGTTCCCACCAATAGTGCAAGAGGGTTCCTTTTTCTCCATATCTTCACCAACACTTGTTATTTCTTTTTCTGTTGATTTTAGCCATTCTGACAGATGTGAGGTGGTATCTCAATGTGGTTTTGATTTGTATT